GTTTTTCATTGCCAATCGCAATAAGGCATACCAGAAAGCAAAAATAAATTATTGTTTCGGGATCGACCATAGCAAATAACAATTCATACTGGACAAAAACGTGGAAGAAAAACTTTACAATTTGAATGGATATGGATGAAATACATTTTTTTAAAAAGTATTTATGGTTCTCTTAAAAATATTTTAAAGAATAAAAACAATCCAAGCACAAACTAGTTATCTTCAACGTTCTCTGTTCTTGTAGCATGTTTAGATCTTGGAAGAATGATGTTTTTGTTTGTTTTTTTTTTTTTTTGTATGTAGTCTATGTTCCTTAAAAAGATATTAAACCAGTTTTATTTCTTTAAAAGAATTTTCAAAGTTTCAAAATACTCTATTTAGAATTTATCTTGATAAATAGTACAAATTTGGTTTTGTTACAATGTTTCTCGCCCTATAGTTGTTTTTTGTGTCTTAAATTTTGATTAGATAGATTTTGACTAAATTCATGACTGGACCATAGAATTTTCTGATATGTATATATATATATATATATATGAAAAATTCTAGAATCTAGTTGGTCTTTTTTGACCGAACAGTCCAGTTAAAAATTCAGCCAATAAAATTTGAGAGCATAATTAGTTACATGTGGTGAGAAAAATTGGAAAAAATTAACAATAATTATATAAAATTGAAATTATCTGAATAGGTTAACAAAAATAGGAATATGTTTGTTCTTTCTTCTGATAAATATTTTGCCATATTTTTTTCCTCCAAAATTTTAAACTTTCTGTTTCATTGGTTATGGCGGATAAACTCTTGGGTACCTGAAGCGCTGCAAAGGCTCATGGATCCTTTTGTCAGTTAGTGCCTGACGATCTTGGGGTGAAGGGCAACCGGTCTAAAATCTGAACCTCTCCTCTTGTTTGCTATGCAAAGAGTCGAGGATAGAATTAAGTAGATGAATAGATGTGGGCTCCAGAAATCCCCCCAAAGCTTCTGCTGCAAATTTTCAATGTTGTTCCTAGTGCTCAAATTTTAGAATTGCATATTTTGTTTTACAAGTCTAGCATAAAATTTATATTAAACAATGTCACAAGCACAAATCACATGCCGGCCGGTCTTAATACTTCTGATACCAAATTTATGTCGATCATGTTCTTGCCGCCGGTGGTCATGTTCATCAAATAGATTTTGTTCTTTTTTTCTCAGTAATTAATTGGTTCAACAGGTGATTAGGTATCCTTTGAATGATCCGGTGCAATTAGATCTTTTGATGAGAATCATATAGCTTCACATTGAAGTCAACATCAAATGAAGGAGAAAAAGGTGTTCTTGTCAGTTGGTGGTCCAAGATTGTTTCTGTTTAAGAATAGAAGAAAGTTTGCTGTGAGAACTTGACCTTCTTTGAAGGAGTATTCACCAACACCTTCTAGTGGGAACAATGAGTTTGAAGAAGAATCGCTTAATCAACAACAAGTGTCTATGGAGTCAAGTGATGATTTCCCTACCAAGTGGAATGATTCAAGTGATGTCCAAGAGATTGATGCAAGTGAGTTTGTTCCAAAGAGCAAGCGTCTTGAAGAGATTGAAGACGCACATTCAAGTATGTAGAAGACATCATTGGAGCTTGGAGTTTTTAATTGGAGCCGCGCACACCAATCAAAAGGAGCGAAACACACGGGAAGTATTTAATTTAACTTATTTAAATTATTGTTGAGTCCGTAAATAGATAATAAGTCTATTTACCTAGAGTTAAATAAAAGGTTTACCTTTAAGGTAACTTCCTAGGGGGGCGGCCGAATGGTCCTTAATTTCATTAAGGATAGATTAGTCTTTTACCATTAAAAGAAGTAAAGTTAATTACTTTGCTTGATGGTTAAGTTTAGTTAGAGTTTGAGTCAAACTTGACTACGTCTTTCCTTTCTGTGAATTGGATCGAGTAGTACAAGGAAGTAGAGTTTCTTTGGCCTAAAGTAAAGTCTAAATAGTAGGGTTTGTGTTTTGGAGAGCAAGAGAAGCTTGCCTATAAAAGGAGGCCGAATTGCCTTAAAAAATATATAGATATGAGTAAAAAACTTTGAGTTATAACCTTTATGGTTTTAATGAAATATCATCAATGGATGGTTTTCTCACAATGAGCGTTTTTCGTTGTTTTGGAAGAGTAGAATGGTTAGTTCTTTCTTTCTTTCTTAGAGCCTAACGTGTGACTTGGTTCTTTGAGTTAAACCGTTTTATCATGTTGAGCATATTGCATGTTTTAATTGTTTTAAAACTAAATTTCTTAACATCTTTTGATATGAAGGCCGATAGGTTGAGCATGTTAGATTGCTTGATTTGTTCGAATTCTTTGTGTCCTAGGGTTGTAGGACACCTTGTTGGTTTATCTATTTTATAGATGAGTTGCATGGAAATAGCATGATGAATAATGTGTTTTGTTTTGTTTATTACCTTGGTAATGAATATATACAGTCCAATATAGAGATATATTCGATAGTTTGCTTGTAGTTGAGTGAGTGGTTTGCTCTTTACATGTGTCGTCAATTATATAGGTGATTGTTCCATTATATTGAGGGGTTTCATCGTTGTAAGATTAAGTTGTTCAATCCGAATGGTTATTTGGATTTTGTGTTATGATCTTTTGCTTGAGTTCGTAAGGTATATGGATTCGTTTCAAACGGTCTAGTTTATTTTTTAAAATTCCGCACCCTTTTAGAGTTTCACTTTTAAACATATTTTTAAGATCTTTCTTGTTGATGATTCCATTAATGAAATTTGGTTCGTCTACGAGATTGCCATCATATTTTGGTATCAGAGCTGGTTTAATGCAATGGTAGCGAAATTGATATCTATGATATAATATTTTGTATCAAAGCAAAAGTTGAGACGATATCCGATTCTCTCTTGAGAATATGGTTCGAGACCCTAGCATTGTGCTAGAAATTGATGTCTATATCTTTTATTTGGACTAAGGTTCTTTTGTTTTCAAAAGAGTTATTGAGAAAAATAAATCAAACTAAGAGAAAATACAATTTCTTAAGTTCTTCTTTATTGAATATTTAGAGCGAAAACTAGGTATTGGTTTAAGATGAATTTTTTGAGTGTTTTTGGTTTCGAGAAATTAGTGAGGCTTGTTGAAGTTGTGCAAACAATTGATTTAAAGAGGGGTTCATTCGAGATTTCCTTTGAAGTTGAGATTGGAGATTGGTTTCTTCATGATCAAGTGATTTGGAACTTATGTGTAACATGATTAATTGATTTAGGGTTTGATGCCAAAAGCGAAAGCGCATAGCCTTACCTTTTTAAGAGAGATTATGTATACATGAGCAAGTGTGTGCGTGTGTGTAGGTCTAGGTTCTTTGAATTTATGATCTATGAATTTTAAAGGTAGAGTATTCATGAAAGTATACTACTTAGTGTATGGAAGTGATGATCTTTCCTTCTTGACTTTAGTACTTTATGAATTGGAGAAGAGTAAGATCTAGAGTTTGTGGTATTTCAATCAATGAGACGTCCATAATCGCTATTAGGTTTTATTAGATTGAGTCTTGTGTCGAATTAGTGTAGTTTCGAGCTAATGTGCTATGTGAAGTGTCTTCGTTGACTTTCTTGCCGAGTTGCGCTTCGACTTTGTGTGTTTCCGTCGACTTCCTTGTCGGGTTGTTCGTCGACTTTGTGTGGTTTGATTTTTAAAGCTTTCTAAAAGTTTTGAATTCAATATGTGTGCAAGGTAACTTAAAGAGATCAACGTGTTCTTTGAACTTTTGGGTTAGTGAATCATTGTTTGAAGTCTTTTTCAAGAATAACGTGACCTTTCTTATGCAGATTAGATTTTTCATTGGTTTGGAAATTGTTTTTTCAAGAGTTTATCTCTTAAGTGACTATGTGATTTATTTCTTGTTGAGTCATATGAATGAGATATGAGTTTTAGAGTTTATACTCTAGGGTTTACACGTATAAGAGTTTCCATTAAGTACTTTGGAGATTTCTTGTGTTAAAAATATCAAATTTATACTGTTTTAAGTGGTTTAAACAAAATATTTTCGAAAATTAGGTCTTTAGGGTTTTTAATCAAATGTGTTTATATGGTTTTCATTTGTTGAGTTTCTTGAACTTGGTAGATGAAATAAATTTGCTTGAATGCATGATTAGTATTTTTGAATTTCAATTACATGATTGAAAGAGGGTTTTTAGTATTTAACTAAAAGTTTTTTGCCTTGATTTTAATTGAATAAAATTCGAGAATTATTTTAACTGTGTGCGCCGAAATTTTAATTCATATTTTTTAGTGGGAAAAGAAATTTTTGCTTGTGTGAACATGTGTGTGTGCCGAATTTTCTTTTTAGGAAATACCAAAAGGAATTTGGTTTTATTTGTTAATTACCTATATAATAGGAGGGGAATTAAAGGAGTTTCGTAAAAGTTATTAAGCTATGTTACTTATTTATTTATGTGTCTTTTTTGGCTGAAATAAAATTAGGGAATTAGAGTTTTCTTTTAAAGAAAGTTCTAAAATTTAGAGTCTTATGAATTAAGTAAAAAATTTTATTAAAATTGCCGTTTTAAAAATATTTTCGGCCGTGTGTGTGTTAATTTTCGGATGAAGATTTGGAAATTATGTAGGGTTTTATTAAAGGGGAAATTTTAATTATTTAAAATAGGAGAATTGCCTAAAAACTAAACCTATTTTAATTGGAAAGTCTTTGTAGGAAAAGCCATCTCATGCCTATAAAGGGGTAGTATGGCTGAGTTTTTCATACATCCCAACCTCCAAATTTCTTTTTTGATCTTTGAGTTAAAGCTCGCATAAGCTCTTAAGGTTGAAGGAGTAACTTAACCATCTCTTTTCTTCTTCTATTTGAGAGTATCACCTCTTAAAAGGTGAAAGAGAGTTTTTATTAGTTAGTTTGGGGAGTGTCATTGTCGAATCTTCCTTTTATTTGAGGGGAAGGGTTTCTCGGATTTATCATAAAAAATCCAAGGGAGTTTTTCTAGTTGAAGGTGATTATTTGCTCATTATCATGAGTGAAGAGATTGCTAAGACGAAGGTGTATTGTCCATGCCGTGTCATTGAGGCGCAAGTGCAAGAACTAGGAGCATTGTTGAAGAGCTTTGAAGTGAGTGACATTGGAGTTCATGATGAGATTGTCAACAAGCAATTGGTGAACTTTAGTGAAAAGGTGCTTTGTGTGGAACAAGAGGTTCAAAACGTTAAGCAAGAGCATGAAGGTTTAAGTAGGAGCATCTTCAAGGAGATCGAGTCTATGCAACGAGATTTGATCAATGTTTTATTGATACAAATTATCGTATGGATCAATGAAGGATTCTGCGTGTGTTGGTAAGTTAAAGCTTGAAATTCCAAATTTCTATGGCGGGATTTGTGAAGGGGTGGAATCTTGGGTTGAATCTATTGAGAATTTGTTTGAATTGCTAAATGTGACTAGGGATAGTGTTAAGATCTCTATTGCTATCCAAGGTTTGTGACATATAGCTAAGAATTGGAGTGTGCTATACTTGCGTAATCTAAATGGTAGTGAGCATATTTGGTATGATTTTAAAGAGACAATATACAATAGGTTTTGGAGTAGGGACATTGCTTATGAAATCCAAACTGATTTGTGTGAACTTGTTCAAGGTGACATGGATGTTGAGTCTTTAATTGCTAAATTTTTTGAGGAGTTGTGCTTGAATAGTGGTAGTAATGACTTGAATGAAGTGTTAGTTGTGAGATTATTGAATGGCTTGAATTCTTGTTATAAAGATGATGTGTCTTTGATAAAAGAGAATGATTTATATCGTACTTTTCAAAGAGTTGTGTTGTTGGAGTTGTGTAAGAATAGAGATATTTGGAAGAAGTGTACTGATAATTCGAGAGAATAAGGTGCTGCTTTGAAATACACTCAATAGTGTGGAGTCAAATGTAGTTCATGTCTTTCGTACTATAGGTGCGATAGATTGGATTGATAGTTTTATTGTAGCTATTGATGGGGGTAGTTACATCAATTGTATAAGTAAAGAGTTTGTTAGAGTTAATCACTTGGAGGTGAAAGACTTAAGTGAACCTTACAAGTTACGTTGGTTGCATGGTGGAATGGAATTGAGCGCTACTCAAAGTGCTAAGGTGATCTTCGCATTGGGGATCTTGTTTCGAGTGAGTCGTGTGATATAGGACCTATGACGGCGTGTGACATTGTCTTGGGTCTACCTTTCATTAAGAAGTTGGGAATGGTCTTTGTTGGTTCATTGAATGTGTTCTCATATCGAGATCATGAGAATAGATTGGTGGAGTTAAGATCATTATCACCGTGGGAGAGTGAGCATATCATGTTTGAGAGACGTGAGCTTGCTAGACCATTGTACAAAGTGAAGGATGTACAACAAAATAAAAAGGAAGGTACATTCGAGGAGGGTGAATCGAGTGGTGGTGTAGGAGAAAAACTCAACGCTAACCATGATTTATCTTTGTTTCATTTTGTAGGTAAAGATGTAAGTCTTGATTCAAGGACGAATCCTTTTCAAGACGGGGAGGATGATAAGAATCATATAGCCTCATATCAAAGTCAATATCAAATGAAGGAGCAAAAGATGTTCTTCTCAGTTGGTGGCCCAAGATTGTTTCTTGTTTAAGAATAGAAGAAAGTTTGTTGTGAGAACATGGCCTTCTTTGAAGAAGTATTCACCAACACCTTCTAGTGGGAACAATGAGGTTGAAGAAGAATCGCTTATTCAACAACAAGTGTCTGTGGAGTCAAGTGATGATTTCCCTAACAAGTGGAGTGATTCAAGTGATGTACAAGAGATTGATCCAAGTGAGTTTGTTCCAAAGAGCAAGCGTCTTGAAGAAATTGAAGATGCACATTCAAGTGTGTAGAAAACATCATTGGAGCTTGGAGTTTTGAATTGGAGCCGCGCGCGCCAATCAAGAGAGAAATGCGCGGGAAGTATTTAATTTAACTTATTTAAATTATTGTTGAGTCCGTAAATAGGTAGTAAGTATATTTACCTAGAGTTAAATAAAAGGTTTACCCTTAAGGTAACTTCCTAGGGGGCACCCGAATGGTCCTTAATTTCATTAAGGGTAGATTAGTCTTTTACCATTAAAAGAAGTAAAGTTAATTAATTTTCTTGATGGCTAAGTTTAGTTAGAGTTTGAGTCAAAATTGACTACGTCTTTCCTTTCTGTGAATTGGATCGAGTAGTACAAGGAAGTAGAGTTTCTTTGGCCTAAAGTAAAGTCTAAATAGTAGGGTTTGTGTTTTGGAGAGCAAGAGAAGCTTGCCTATAAAAGGAGGCCGAATTGCCTTAAAAAATATATAGATATGAGTAAAAAACTTTGAGTTATAACCTTTATGGTTTTAATGAAATATCATCAATGGATGGTTTTCTCACAATGAGCGTTTTTCGTTGTTTTGGAAGAGTAGAATGGTTAGTTCTTTCTTTCTTTCTTAGAGCCTAACGTGTGACTTGGTTCTTTGAGTTAAACCGTTTTATCATGTTGAGCATATTGCATGATTTAATTGTTTTAAAACTATTGATGGCCGGTAGGTTGAGCATGTTAGATTGCTTGGTATGTTCGAATTCTTTGTGTCCTAGGGTTGTAAGATACCTTGTTGGTTTATCTATTTTACAGATGAGTTGCATGGAAATAGCATGATGAATAATGTGTTTTGTTTTGCTTATTTCCTTGGTTATGAATGTATATGGTCCAATATAGAGATATATTCGATAGTTTGAATGTGGTTGAGTGAGTAATTTGCTCTTTACATGTGTCGTCAATTATATGGGTGATTGTTTGATTGTATTGAGGGGTTTCATCTTTTTAAGATTAAGTTGTTCAATCCGAATGGTTATTTGGATTTTGTGTTATGATATTTTGCTTGAGTTCATAAGGTATAGGGATTCTTTTCAAACGGTCTAGTTTATTTGTAAAAATTCCACACTCTTTTAGAGTTTCACTTTTAAACATATTTTTAAGATTTTTCTTGTTTATGGTTCCATTAATGAAATTTGGTTCGTCTACGAGATTGCCATCATCTTTTGTCTTACCGTACATCCTCTTTTTCATCACATGGTTACTTGCTTCAATTGATCCTTTGGTGTTCGTATATGACTGAAGCACTCAGCCGACTGGACTGTAGCTGCTCCTATATATATATTATAATAATTGTATTTACGGTAGTAATGTTTTGTATAGGGTTTTTTATTGTCTATATATACCATTATATATTGTACATTACAACACGGAACTACATATCCTATTATTCTAAGTTGGTATAGAGTTAGGTTTTTTTTTTTTTTGTCGGCCGTCTCTTCTTTTTTTTTTCTTATCTCTTGTCTTTCATGTTTCTTCTTCGTCACACCGCTGCTGATTGCTTTGTTCCTCCCGTTGTTCTTCTTTGGATCAATGCTGCTCTTCTTCTCCGTCACCGACCGCAATAGTTCTTCTTGTGCCGTTGCTGCTTTTCCCTTGCTGCCGTTGTTTGTTGTGTGTTGCACGGCTATTGCTTCTCTCTTGATTGTTGTGGTTTTTCTTGGTGCTGCTACTTTCTTCCCTTGCCTCCGTTGATTGGTTTTTTGGTTGTGGCTTTGGTGTTGTATTTTGGTGTTGCCCGTTGCCATCATCATCATCATCTTCCCGCCCACTTTCACCAATCTCCAGGTTTTGCTATTTCAGCCCTTATAGTTTATCAAATTCTACAATCTAGTCCTCATAGTTTTCCTTTTGTGTTAATTAGACCTCTCACTTATGATTTGTGCAAACCCATCCTAGTACTTTTTAGTTCGTTCAATTGAGCCTTCTGATTAATAATTTTGACAATTGAATCCTTTCATTTTGCTAACAATTCGTAATTTCTTATTGTCACGAGTGCTTCCTCTCTTACCGCCATGCATCCTTTACTACTGCTAGAAACCCTTTTGTTCTACTAGTCTCTTCTCTCCTCGGTTGCTTAAAAAACAAAAACAAAAAAAAAAGAAAAACACAAAAAAAAACAAAATAAAGAGTGGTGCATAAAAAAAACAAAAAAAAAGTGCAAAAAAAAGTCACATTTTCAATATCCCCATCGCAATCGGGGTGGACGTATATATTAAAGGCCCACATGTGGTTTCACCTCAAAACCAATTGGTGAAACGATAGTAGCACATGTGGTAATATATTGGTTTCAAGAGTTTCCATCTATCCATGTGATATTCTCAACACATATTATAAACTGAAGGGTTCAGATAGAATTAAATATAAAATATAGGGACTTTAGGTGCAATTTTGTAATAGTTAGCAAATTGGCAGACGGGATAAAACTCATCTTCTCCGTCTCTGAACGTTAGCGAAGAATTGATATTGTTTTTGTTATTTTCGTACTATTTTTCTTTGATTTTACTGTTTTACCTATTTTAATCCTTGCCGGATTGGAGAAAGTTGTATCAAAGTCGAGCAATCCTCGGCCTGTATCACAGTCATTTAATTTTGTTTGGGATTTAACGGCAGACTCCGCTGGATTTCACAAAACATCAGACGATCGGTGGAGGAACCAAATACTGTGGCAACCGGAAGTGGTCTCCGACTTTGTTAATCTACTGATTGAAATTCAATCAAGTGCAAGCTACCATTTCGAAGCCTTGATTAATCCATCAGAGGGATGTGGATTTCTGAGTCTCAATCACCAAGCAAACCTCCAGAACATTCACCGGAAAGTTCCTCTGAATTGCTGTCTTCTCCGTCTTTGTTGGAACTACTCAGATTCCCCAGCGATAAACCAGAGGCGTGGCTACAAAATTGCAAGAAATTCGTCTCAATTTTTCCTATTGCAGAGTCGGCTCGATTTGAGATGTTAAAACCATTTCTAGAAGGTGTAGCTAAAATTTGGTTCGAAGTTATACAAATTATCTATTCGAGCGAACCGCTTTCATGGGATAAATTCTCGGAGCTCCTTATCAAGCGTTTTGGAAGCGACAAAAGGGAAAACCAAATGAAGGGAAATCGTAGGTCGAACTCTAGAGATGAATTTGGTTCAGCAATAGAAGCGGAATCCTCTTCCTCAGAACCATCGCCATAGGAAGAATTAGGTGAATCTGTTATTTTACAAGTTTTGAATGAATTTTCTTATCCCGATGAAGGGGTATGCTTATGTTAATCCATGAGGTGATCCTATGGGTTCAGTTTACATTGGTTGTGATGATACAAAAAATTCAGATGAAATATGTGTGTTGCACTTCATTAGTGACTGGGAAGAGTGAAATGGTTTGTTCTGATGATGAGTTTGCTTGTACTAAACTTAAGGATGATGATATAGTTTCAATTGAGATTAATGATGATGAATTTTTTACTGTTAAGGAGCTATTGCATTCTGGCAATGATGATATGGTTGTTGATTCTATAATCTCGGATATAGAGAATGGTTCTATTTTCCTTGATTTGACTGATGAATCTCTAAATCCGGTTGATGAGAATTTGGTTGTTCACGCTGAATTTTTTAAAGAGATCATTAATGATAAACTGCTTCAAAAGGTGGGGGGAACTCTGTGATGTTGAATGATGTAATTGATAATTGTGTGAGACTGTTTAAACATAATGGTTCACTGATTTTAGAATTAGTGAATGAGAAATTTCTTTCAGTTAAGGATGAACTTAAATATGAAGGTATGTTGTGTAGGATTTGTTCCATTATTAGGGGAATTGGTCTGAACTCCTTTGCTATTGATCACGGTGGACTTGGGCATCATCTTGATATTGAAGTCTTTTTGGGTGTTGATTTTGAGTTATGCATTAAGCTGGCTGGTACTTATGTTGGTTTAAAAGGGACTGAGTTTGACTTTAAGTTGATAGAATTAAGAAGAAATTGGGAGCTAAAGAAATTTCATAGAGTTTGGGGTAAAGTAGTCACAACTTTCAGGGGTGAGACTATGTGTAGAATCGAAAGAATTGCCTCTTTTCATTCATTGGACTTCCTCGAGGGCAAGGAAACTTTTAAGGGGCAGGTAACTACCCAATATCTATTGCAGATCTTAAAGAGTTAGAATGACAAGCAAAACTGCACCTCTAACCTTCATCCAACAGAGCAATATCTTAGTGGCCTAAATTTAAGTGTTCTCATCCATGGAAACTTTGCTAAACATCATGCTCCATGTTCATGGGTGGTAATTGTGTATGTATTTAGAGGAGGTACTAATACTCCATTCCTGCAAACTGCATGGTTGAAAATGATACTTGCTGAATGAGCCTGTGGTGGCTAAACTTGATATAAGTCTAAATAAGTTTGATTATCTTGGAAACTCTTTTAATATTGATGCTGAAACTCTGGAAGAATGGTTATCGGTTGTGAAGCTTGTATTGCTTGCTAATGGTGTTCTAACTACGGTTTATAAACTCTTGTCAATGTTGATTGTGTTGAGGGTTTGTTGGGGGTTTAACAAGCATCTGAATTGTCATGCCATTAATTTTGATGCCATAAACCTCAAGGGTCTGTTCTTGAAACTTTTTGGTTTGATAGCATCCCCAGCTGAGTTTGGAATGTCCTCAGTTCTATTTTCAAATAGCCAAAAACTTGTGGTTCCGTATCTAGATCGTAAAGCTAGCTGGGAAGGGTGAATAACAGGATTCAAAGGTGGTACAATCTTGTGTGAAATTTTCCATGTTCTATTTTTGGTTTTGACAGGTCTGATGCTAAGAATTCTGATCATGTTAAAATGTATTCACTAGCTTATTATTCTCAACCATGCATTTGGATTACAAAACAATGATTGGGTGGTTGATTTTATTCTGAAAAGGATTCATCTTAGTATGATGACAAGTACCTTGGCTCTCCTTTGAATATTATTGTTTCAATAAGCTATGTTTTTGGGACTGCAAATCTGGAACTATGCCATGAGGAGGGGTAAAATTCCATATATAGGTGGTAATCTTGGGGGCAAAGGTGTGTTTAAGGGGAAGAGACTGCTTGTTATGGTTATTTCGCATACTTCACCTTGCTAAAATAACAACTGCCTCTACACGAAGTCACACTTGAGCTGCCTATCAACTTGCTAGAAAGTTTTATTCTCATGATTGCATGGTTAGCATTGACAATAGATAGTAATGATGCTAGCATGAATGGAAGTCATTGTCAGGTTAGATTGCTAGAGGATACATGTTTGTCTTTTGTTAAGACTCAGAGTTCCTTCTTGTTGTTGGCTGCTGCTAAGCTTATTGCATTTTTTATTTTTTCTCAAAAGAAATACATTGAATCAAGCAGAAATTTAGTCATTGATGGACTAAAAAAGGTTGACGACAGAAGTGGAAGTAATGGAAGTTTTAACTTGCTGCAAGAGAATTACACATCAGTGAAAGCAACCCATGAACCACTTACATCCCTCGTCAACAAGATGGAAGGAGTACGATCAGCAGTCAAATATTTGCAAATCCAGCTATCATATATGTGTTTTAAATTTGTTTCAAAAAGATTGAAGATTGACATTCATCTTATAGTTTGGAAACACTTAAGCAATGATAATGCCCTGGAAATGAAGAGGGATGACTATTCAGTGCAGAAACTTCAAAGACCATGGGACAAGACTGTGACCCTTTTTTACAAGATGAAGGGTGTATTGGCTTCTCAATGTTATCCTTTGGAAAATACATTCACTTATCAACTTTGGAGTTCCGGCTACAACCGTTCTACTCCAACTTTCTCTAATTTGAAAAGAAAGGATCGTCTTCCTCTTGGTGGTTTTAGAAATGGAAGCTGTATTGGTGTATCATTGGTGTAGATTTAGTTCTAACCATTTAAGTCTTGAGGACAAGACTTAATTTAGCGGGAGAAATTTGTCATAAACTGAAGGGTTCAGATAGAATTAAATATAAAATATAAGGAATTTAGGTGCAATTTTGTAATAGTTCGCAAATTGGCAGACGGGATAAAACTCATCTTCTCCGTCTCTGATGGTTAGTGAAGAATTGATATTGTTTTTGTTACTCTTTTTCTTTGATTTTACTCTTTTACCTTGTCAATCCTTGCCGGATCTGACAACACCCCCTTCTCAAGTCCAAAGGGGTTGGACAAACTGGATAAATTGCCAGATCAGTAAACGCCCACATATAACTGGGTAAGTAGAAAAAGTAGAAATATAAGGCCCAGATTTGGGTAAGTAGAAGTAGAAGGCCCAAACGCCTAAGTAAATCAGACCCCGGATATAACTACTAGATCAGTCAAAACCCTTCCCACAAGTCACACAGGTCCACGGATAAAACCTACTCTGATACCATCATAAAGGCCCAAATATAAGACCACATGTGGTTCCACATCAAAACCAATTGGTGATAAGGGGAGTAGCATATGTGGTTATATATTGGTTTCAAGAGTCTCCATCTATTCAATTTGCGATAGTCGTTTTCCAGGTTTGAGATGAGACAATAGAGAGTTTTAGGTCGTAACAATCTGTGTCCCAATTTTCATATATATTGGACCAATTTGAATTTTTTATCTCAATAGTTTAGAGACTCCATCAAGTGACATAGCAACATAGTGCCCCGGTTTGCTGGGTAAGTGATTGTCATACAAAAGCATTATGAATTTATTTTGATCGTATAATTTATTTATTTTCACACACGACATGAACATAATATTACAAGTCGTTTTTTGGTATGTATTATAATATATTATATATATGTGAAAATGAATTCTAACATGTAGAGCAAATTTGATGTAGAAGACACAATTATTCATCTAAAAAAATCAACAATTATCATTCTCGATTTCACCTCTCATCATACCTTCCTCAAATTCACGGTTGCCTACACAATTAGAGATGAATTGTTTATTTTCTCATATCTGTTCTGACCGATTGCTGCAATTTACAAATTTTAGAGAAAAGATCTGAATTTTCGGAATCGAGCTGAGAAAGGCACAAATGAACTGAATATGTTAAATTCCACTACACTACCAATAAAACTATGATGGATCCACCAATTCAATGTGAAAATATTGCCCCCTAGGTTGATTGAAACATAGCATGTGGATTTTGGAAACAACAAACAAAGATGATCATCAATTTCACAAAGGAGATTGCATAAAGAAAATAAAAATATTAAAAACATGTTACGAATCTGCACCGTTATGCCCGAAATTACTTGAAACTATGATGGATCCACCAATTCAATGTGAAAATATCGTTCCCTAGGTTGATAGAAACATAGCATGTCGATTTTGGAAACAACAAACAAAGATGATCGTAATTTCACAAAGGAGATTCTATAAAGAAAACAAACATATTAAAAACATGTTATGAATCTGCAGGGTTATGTTTGAAATTACTTGTTTACGGCAGCATGTTTGAATTTGGTGAATAATTACTATATTTATTTGTTCTGACCCTAAAGGTTACAAACAATTTATCTATTTTCTTGTAAGCTAGCCGAAATTGTTAGTTTCAATTGGGTTAAGATAGGTATTGATTTTGATGAAAGGGAGAAAAACAATAAAGTTATTTTCATCCATCCTCGAGTGAATGAATAGGAAAATCGTGGGCTATCTATGAGAGGTTGGCAGAAAGTCATAACGTGAAGGATAATTTTTCGTATTTTTAAAAATAACAAAACTTACTATTGACGACCGCAGTTAATTATAATCAATAATACTTACTTAAAGCAGACACGTGTCAGCACCAGAACGAAAATTTTTCCTCCAAAACATTTACAGTATAAAAACCAAGGAAGCAAAATAAGCCACGTGGCTGCTTATATTTGCAGAAAATTTTAGCCCAAACATAGGTATATTACTGTTTGACCCTCAATTGAGGGAGGTAACTAATTCCATCTATACATTTGTTACATTAATATAATAATAATCCTCAAAAAGAAATTCCATACGGCTGTGTACTACTATCTTCCCCTAAATTAGCCGTGTAAATCCATTGTCTTTGTAATTTATGAAAGTAAACATCTCTACCACAAAATCAGCAGTGAAAATCAACTATCCCTGTAATTAAGCAAAGTGAAAAGGATCATACAGACTCCAAATTCCTTCTAAATTTATAGTCTTTCACTACATGTATTATTCTTTTCACAGTGATTATTCCATGATTTTGTCAACAGCCTTTTAATGATCTTCCCCAGAATCAGCATAGTAAACGCGTATTCCATTTGATTACTCCTGTGTAAAAAAGATAGGATCACTGTCGATCCCTTATTCATAGGCGTATTATCATCAGTTAACAGGAATATAAAAAAGAAAATAATAAGTATAATTATCACCAAATCAATCAACAAATACTATAAATTATAGAAATTGTAAAACATTTAAAACTCTGAACGGATTTCACTGGATGAAATCTCTTTCTGTTCAACATGTGCTTTAGACAAACGTATATATCTGTAAGTTTTCAGTGCATATCTTCAGTCACGGTTCAATCACAAATCAAATTTCAAAATCTTTGCATTATCGTTACCATTATCATCACAAAAAAATTTTTACGAAAGGGGCATGAGGCAGTACGTTACCTGTATAAATACATCTATGCTCATCGGAAAGCTTGCACCATACCATTCCTGCAATCTCCAAAAAACATATTTTCATATTCTCGTATTAGCTCTATTATCCTCATGGCTGAAACAAATCAAACACGCATAACAATTGTTGAACCTTCAGTTGTTGTTGAAGATGTGAATGAAAATGTTGTGGACAATTCGGTTGTCATTCCATTTGAAGATGTCATTTCTCCACCACCAAATCATGGGGTCTATAGGTATTCCCATAATTGCTGCACAAAGATACATTATTGATACCAATGGGATGATTGATGCAAAATACAATAATTTCATCATTGTTGTCCGTGTGGTGACACTTTGGGAGATTCCAGAAGTATCAAAAAAAAAAAAAAACAAAGTGAAGTCTGTTGAGATGTGTTTGGTTGATGCTCAGGTATTCACAGTTTCTTTATGATTGGTATTTAAGGTAAAAATTCATATTTATCTTCATGTATTATATGTACTAACATATTTGTATGAATCAAACAGGGTGAGAAAATTCAAACTACTATACCGAGAAGAATTGTGAAGGATTTCGCAAATTCTTTCACAGAAAGTTGTGTGAGAAGGTTATCATGATTTGATAGTTGTCTTAACATAAGTGGAGGATTGCGATCTGCCAAGCATGAATAAAAATTGTGTTTATGTAAAAAATAAATGTTGAAGCTGTGATTGAACATTTTATGAATTTAAAATACATTTTATGATTTAAAATACATTTTATGAATTTAATTTTAATGTGCAGGGTTGACAGACTCAAGGTCACTTTAGGTCACTTTGTGGGGTGAACACGCTGACCGAGTTGCTGAACACGTCTACAAATCCAACATTTCCTGTGGTCCTTATTGTGCAATATGTGAAGTGCAAGAAATACTACTTTAAGTAAACCCAATTGTTACATATAACAGACTGTACCAATATTACGGTCAAACTGATTAATCACAGCTAATCCTCAATTATTATCATTCAACAGCAAAAGCTTCTGTTACTACAAATCTTTTCAATGGTCGGATATATCTTGATGATATGGCAATTCCTGACATATTCGAGTACAAAGATAGGTATAGTTATTCTTAAAATCTACTATAACTACAAAAGCATTTCATAATTACTGATTTATTTCCCTTTTATTTTGCTACGACAATATGTATAAAAGTTTTACCAATGCAAAGCTACAAGTATCCATAAGATTTCCATGATGTCATTCATATCTAGATATACAACATATGAAGATTTCATAAATGGGGCAATACTGTTGTCATTGGGTGATATAGATGATCTTGATGAGGTAACATATGCATATGGCCCTTTTATAGTGTACATAAAATTAATATGCAATTAGCTTCGAATATCTAATCAATTATAAACTTATATTTTTTTAGGTAGGGTATGTTGTGATTTTTGAAAATATCACAGGCTTAGCAAAAGAGTATGATTGGTTATGCATAAGGTGCAGAGATTGCAATAGAAAGGTGGAAGAAATAGAGAAAGTAAAAAGTATCCGGATTGTCAGTGAAAAGACTAATGTACCATCAGCGAAAGGAAAAAAACACAGATGGCCAAAAGAAAATTGAGATTGAGAAAAAATGGTTTTATGGTAATCATGGTCGTGTGTCCACTGTTGGTCCAAAGTAAGTTTTCATAATCTAAAATCTGTTAATGAAACGAGATTGATTTTATACTTTGTACTCAAACTACTTAATGTTTTACTTAGTTTTTTATGAACAACTTAATTAAATATTTCTCTAAATGATTTTATGAATATGTTCAAGTTACAGGTTTATGCAATGGATACTACTAGAAGCAGAATTTTGACATTTTAGGACAGGATGGTGTATAATTTTATCAACAAGACTACTACTGAACTCCGTGAAAAAGTATTATTTGTTCATTTTAATGTATACATTTTATTGCATCATATATGTGTGATTAAGTTATGACTATATATTTGTATCCAGGAAGGTAAAAATACCCTAAACTACTAGATGAGATTATTGGAAAGAAATGTCTATTCAGGTTGGATGTCTCCAAATATAATATCCGTAATAGTAGTAATGAGATTTTTGTTGCTAAGGTTATTTTTGAAACAGAAACTATTAAGAAGTACATTAATGATGTTTCTAAAGATCAGGTTTGGTCACATGCTTGTATGTCATATACATTTGCATACATTTGTTTTTAAATTTTAAAATCTGTAAATGATAATGTAATTTATTTTCTATATTATTAACAGGAGATTGATCCAGAGATGAGTGCAGAGTTTTATCAAAATGTGACACCTACTCAGGATAGCACCACCAAGGGACATTTTGTTAAAATCAAAGTTATTCTATAATAAAATAACAATACTAAAACAATACTTACATATTCCATTGATTCCAGACTACGGTCTCCTGTACTAGATATACTGAGATGGGCTATCTGGGCGACGACATGGCTGACAGTCCTCCTCCAAAAAATAAGAGTGTTGCGGTGAGGAAAGTGTCAAATCCAATTCCAACAAACGTGTCAGGAAGCTGTGATGTCGATCAAAGCACCTTTTATTTACTGCTTCACAAATAAAACACACTTTAGTATTTAAGATGTGTCATAGCCAGAATTGTTATTCTGATGAAATATTGTCTTTTTTTGAAGTTTTTTTCAGTACCATTATACTGTTTTGGTGCAGTGGCTATTCAGGTATTCTTAAATTTTGAGGATTCCAGTTTTTTTGGATAAATTAAATTTATAATTATTTGCTTTTATTACATATTATGATTACTGATACATTGAAGATTTCTACTCCCGCAAACTTTTAATATATGTAAATTTAAATGAAGTCCATTTACTTTTACAGTTTATCATGTTCATAGAAGACAAATATTATTATTATTATTGGTCATTAAGTTAATAGCTATAAGCACTTACATTGTTAAATTGTAATCTTTTTTAATAACCCATCAGTAAGGATACTCATGTGTGAATAGTCATTGATACCTGTTATTTAACATCCATATCAATCAATGTATTTGTCATGAATTTCATTAAATACTTGAAAGGAATATGTATAGAGATAAACATTGAATCATGATGAACAATTGCCATGTATGTAAAAGATTTAGATTTATTATAATAATGAACCTGGACACTTTTTATAATAATAGCATCAAAGATCAACTCAAACAACATTGTAAAACAAGACTATATAGTCTGTAAATAATTTAAAGATTCTGGAAATCATAAGGATCACGTAAAAAGAGTTGTAGTGTCCTACGAATCAAGGTTTCATTTATTATGTTATTTCCATAATCAATTAATTTAACACATATAACTTCTATACATATATATATATATATATACATAGTATTATATATTATAGTTTATACACATCAGAGTTATAACTTTCAATAACAAACAAATAAAAAAGTTTGTCCTTTTACAGGTAATCATGGCTAAACACTGTTTTGTTGTTTTCAAAGAAGGATTTGTTCTGGATCAGGTAAAGTTTATTTTCATGTTTTCAGATTTCTTTGAACATTGTTATGAATTTAAATACATATCTATATTAAGAGTTTTGTTATTAGAAAACTCCTTTGCTTAGGGCTTTGGCTCAAATCAACAATGAAATACAAGAGATTGAAGTTGTCAGTAACAAGGGACACTATACAGTGTCATGTGGACTAAACAACACACAAACAACAATTGTGTTTGTTGGAAAGTAATGGGTAAATTTTGTTACAGAACATAGATTGCTCACATACCATGCTCTGTATTTTGTTACAATCAGGTATTGTTCAAGTATATATATTTGATCACAACAGAGTACTAACTAACAATTTAGTTCCACGATTGACATGGGACAAATTCAAAGACATCCAAGACAGGATGGTATGATAACTTTATTATTTTTCTTTCATATGCAAGTTTATATTTATTGAATTCATTTTAAATGGGAATAAAAATTAACCATGGTTACTTATATGGTAAATACATCATGATACATATCATACCTGAATTTTTTAGTCATTTATTGATGGAAAACCATGTTATGAACAATGAAGACTCTTCATACTAGTCTATTGATTATGGTGATTACACCCTATACAATTGACATAGCTTATTCAGAATGAGAAAATGACAACATAATTGTAATTGCTGGTACTGAGTGGAAGAAACTGTTTTCTGACCGTCATGACAGTTTGAATGAGTGTGAATTCTCAATTCTGAAATATGAAAAAAATATGCGTTTTACAATGCAATTTTTCAAAGCTAATGGATTGGAGATTGAGGGGCCTATAACGATCATAGAAGAAGACCGTTTCAAAATACAAATTGGAGATAACCATTGCAAAAAAAAAAAAAAAATGGTAAGTTATATTATCAATGTTTTTAAAGTCGCATCATTTAATTTGTTACGAAAAATAAATCTTTCTAATTTAAAATATATTTGGCAAACTGTTCCAGCACAATTTTGGAAGCATCACAAGAAAATAGTCTGCAAAAGAACAGTTGCTATACATATTACTGCATGAATGTACACAATGAAATTTCATAAAGCATATGATCAAAGGTACATTGGGAAGGGAGTTTGCCAGTTGAAAATGTTAGGGGAGTGGATGCAATTGCTCAACGATAATTCTATTGCAACTGGAAGTCAATGCGAATTCCATTTGGACAGAGATAATGTCGAAACCAAGAAAAAGTGATGTTGATTTTACATTTACTTTATGTAATGAGTAATATGTTAGATATTAATTTATGTTTCTATTTTGTTTAATTTGTTACACTTTTCATGGAATACAAAAAATTTTTAATGTAAGGTACAATGATCAGACCTCCATTGAATTTTTCACTGTTAGTATATTCATTGCGTTTTACGTAGAACGTAAAAGTAAAAATTTTATATTTTTCCATATCCTAAAAAAATGATTATTGCACCAGGCAATAAGGATTTTGTACTCCTGATTTTTAGTGAATTTGAAACGATGTTAAATTAAGAGGATTGTATTCTTTTACACCTATATGGATTCTATAAAATCCTTTTTTGTTTTTGTTTTTTAAGGTTATCTATAAGTGCCATAAAGAAGAGAGAATATATATATATATATATATATATATATATATATATATACTTTTCCCTTCAAATTCTCAGAAAAGTTAAATTCACATAACATGAATTCAAAAGTCCAGAAGCCCTTTCTAGACTTATATTGCATATATAGACTCTGAAATCACCTTACAGACTGCATTTGAGATAGAAAAAGCTAAAGAAGAGGCTTATGATCAGTTAATTAGTGTTCCAGTAAACATCAGCAGGAAAGGATTGATAAGTCTCTTACAATTTTTTTATCGTATTATGATCGGACATCCCAAATTCTTACTGACTAAATGTTTTATGTAAATTATCAAATCCTTAGCAGTAACCTAACTTTAGAACTGAGACATGTTGGAAAACAGATCAAGATTGAATTTCAAGGAAATTGATATATTTATGCAAATATTCATATCACTAAGAAGAGGAGATGTTAGTTATATGGATCTGTTCTGGAAGAATTTTTTTCAGGAATTTTGTGTGTCTTCCAGATCTAAGATTATTGTTATTTATCACAGATCTACTAATGTGAACTGTTATTTTATTTTAATTATGATGGATGTGAAAGGATTGACCCAGATGTGAATGCAAAAACTGGTAACCGCTATCTATTTTGTTTAAATCATAACACATTCAAACAAACTAAAAGTTCTAAGTATATTCATTTTCACAATTTCTACGCTTTTTTTCTATCTTAGTCCTTTATGCTAAATATAGGCTTTACAATACATATCTATAATTTATTCACTGAACATGAATTTCAGGTTATCCATAAACGTTACTTTTCTGGAATTGATTGGCCTTCAGATCAGACCACATCAAAGTTTATTGATGTGAAGCACAATCAATGGGAGTTCATGATATATAAGGAAAACAATAAACCTATAGGTTTTGAAGGCACGATGTGGGAAGATTTTCATGACTATTATTATAGCAGGTTAAAATGTGTGAATGTAATTATTGTTTACACTGGAAATATGTTATTCCATTTAAGGCCTTTCAACCATGAAGGTTACTGTTGCAACCTAGATATTGTTGATTCAGATATATCTGAAGGTTTTCCTTATGGGTTTTTTAAATTAATTCATTGTTAACAAAATAATCGCATAATGCATATGTTAATACTAATATAAATTTTTATTCAGGTGAAGTTGACACAGTAAACTATCTTTGTAGCAACGGTAATTAGAATGCATTTTCTGCAGTCATGACTAATACTGTAATTCTGCATGCAGATCGTTAAGAACATATGATGCCCATAAATTTAATTTAAATCAAATTCAAATTATTTATACAATTATAATTAATTTATTTAATGATATTGCAAGCAATACCCTGGCATATGATCAGAAGATTGAAGTTAGATGACTACACAAATGCTATTTTGTATTATGATGGAGTTCATGTAATTAAGATGCACCAAATTGAGATAAGTGAGATTACCTGGTGGGAATAATATGAATGCCACTGAGGAGATACGTGGGTTTGGTGACTAGTTGCTAAAAATTGGGGAAGGCAAGATCAATGAACCAAACGATGGCGAAGTTGAAATTGTTTTCCTAGATGAAGTTGTCATACAGAATCCCAGAGATCATATAGAAGCCATCGTCAATACTGTATATCCAGATTTGGTCAACAGTTTAAATGAAGCGGCATGGTTTTGGGAAAGAGCAATATTAGGACCAACCCATGAGGTTGTTGACAAATTTAATGACTATATGATTGGATTATTACCCAGTGAAGAACATGAATATCTCAGTTCAGACAGTATGGAAGCTTCTAAACATGGAACTGAAGCTGATCAGGGAATTTACACTCCTAAATTCCTCAACAGTGTAATAGCTTATGGGCTTACTAATCACAAGCTGGTTTTGAAACTTGATGCTCCAGTCATCTTACTCTGTAGTGTTGATCAAAGGAATGGACTTTACACGGATGGGACGTTACATCATTGGAGGTAGAGTAATATATGGTAGCAACATTGGTGATGTTGTACCTATTCCTCGGATAAAAATTATTCCAACTGACAACACTATTCGTTTCAAAATGAAAAGGAGATCGTTTGCTATAGCAGTATGTTTTGCTATGACAATTAATAAAAGCCAAGGTCAGTCTCTTTCTACAATTAGACTATTTCTACCAAGACCCGTTTTTAGCCACAGACAGCTACATGTAACACTGTCAAGAGTAACATCTAAGAAAGGTCTGAAAGTTTTGATTTGCAGTGACGGAATAAGGTCCAATACAACAACTAATGTTGTTTA